ATGGGTGTGTCGGAGGCAGTGCAGTTGGCGCAGGATAGAGCAGGGTTTAGGGCTGTTGTGCATAGGGTCGCTATGAGTCAGAAACGACTCGACGGCACATAACAACAACAACAACTATTAGTTGTTAGATTCCAGAATATTTGATAATGTATTTAAGGTTAAAATGTAATCCTGACTGTGATGTTGTTGTTTAGATATGACAGATGGATCTTTGTACTTCCTGCTTTCATAAAACATTTTCCGTTTTAAGAAACACGATTAAGAATGCATTTATACTATTTTACCTTAAAGATAGCAGTAAACTCTTGTTTAGAAAATGAAGTAGTAAAAAAAAAGAGACAGAAATGAACTAGTATCTTGAACTGATCTATCGAAATCCTATAGTTTAAATGTTCTGTTTTTTTTTAGCCTAAACTCCAATTTCTACTTTCATTTTGGAGCTAGCTTGGTCTGATTTACTACTATGATTTTCCCCTGATTTGCTTGGCTAACATATTGTTCATGCATGCTTAATTTTGGAATTTAATCATAGATTTAAAAAAAAAAACAACAACATAAAGTTCATCAGAGACAAACTGGGATGAAGCACAGATGGCCTAGTCTATGGTATAAAGAGACTACCAAGTACAGCCAGGAATGCACAATCAGAGAGGATAAGGTTGATGAATGGGACCTCCTAAAGGTTAAATCCCTGTGTGCATCAAAAACTTTTTCTGACAGAGAGAAAAGAAAACCTACTGACTGGGGTAAAAAAAATTGACAATACAATTTCAGACAAGGGTTTCATATCAGAAGTTTACAGAATCATACAGGGTCTCTGCAAGAGAAAGACTGATAACACAATTACAAAATGGGCAAAAGGCTTGGAAAGACCTTTCACGAAGGAAGATATTTGGGTCGCCAATAGACACATAAAGAAATACTCAAAATCATTGGCAATAAAAGAAATTCAAATCAAAGCCACAAAGAGAAACCATCTACTCAGAAACATTGCTACTCCAGTAGCAATGGCGAAGTTTAACAAGATAGCAAGTAATAAATGTTGGAGAGGATGTGGAAAGATAAGAATTCTTCTACACTGTTGGTGTGATTGTAAAATGGTACAACTACTCTGGAAGGCAGTTTGACATTTCCTAAGAAAGCTGAACCTAGAAATTCCATATGACCTAGCTATTCCATTGCTTGGACTATACCCTGAGAAAATGAGAACAGAAACTCAAGCGGAGACTTGCGCACTAGTGTTCATAGCATCATTAATCACCATCACAAGAACATGGAAACAGCCCAAATGTCCAACCACAGAGGAATGGATTGAGAAAGTATGGTACATTCACATGAAAGAATACTGTGCAGCGTGCAGGAACAATGATTTTATTAATCACTACTTAACTTGGGAGGGACTGGAGAGCATTAAGCTAAGTGAACTAACTCAGCCTCATAAGGACAAATACTATATGAGACCATTATTGTAGAAATAAATAACTAGTAAAATGTGAATGAGGATCTAAGTAGGGGAGTGTGGGAGCAGAGGGGTGAGGTTGTGTGGGGAGGAGGGTAATCATATGGTTGCACAAATTGATGGGTGGAGAGGGGTAGGTAAAGGAAATGAGAAAGATCTAGCTTGAAAAATAATGTATATGAACTTGGTAAATAAACCAGTATAAAATAAACGTTTTATTTAAATAAAAAAGTAATTTAGACTTTGTTTCCAACAATATAAGATTTTTTTCCCTCCTCCTTTCCCACATTAAGGATACAGAACTAATAGTTTTTATTTTCTTGGTTCATATTTTAGTATAAGAATGACTTTCTGGAACCCTCTAACAAGAATTTATATGCTAACTTCAGAAAATACCCAGTGATGATCTTAGGTCTTCAAATTTAGGATTTCTCTTAAATTTGTTTCTTTTTTATGTTGTTCGTGTGTGCCATAGGGTCGGAACCAACCCATGGCCAACCCTCCTGTGGGTTTTCAGAAGCAGTAATAGGATGGAAGGAGATTGCCCAACTTTCTCCTGCAGAGCAGCTGGGGGCCCCAAACCATGTGCCTTTGGAATTGCAGCATAGCTTTCTTGCTTCATGGTCTTAGGGCCACGGAAAACCAGTTTGCACTGTAAACTTTTGGTCACATCACAAAATTTAAAAAAAGAAGAAATGTTTTTGACTCATTTATTAATATCATTTGTTATACCATGCTGTACCTTGAGATATTTTAAATTATATACATTTAATAGTAAAAATGTACACAGGAACCCCACCTATATGCATCCATTTATTTTTAAATAACATATTATTGTTCTATTAAAACACACATAATCTATATGGCCCTGTGTGTCCACTTGCCGTTCAGAGGTAACTTGTGGTAGCTGTGAAGCTGAACACTAGGACACTGATGTGTCAAATGCGATAATTGTTACCCATGGTGGACAGTGTTTGGTGGCGCTTCCTGGTTAAAATAAGCTTGGAAGCAGGAGCGGCATCCACTTCCGTAAAAGCATGCCTCCTGAAACCCTATGAACCTGGAGAAAGGATGGAAGTCACTCACACAAGTGTTGAGGACTTTTGTTCATAGGGTCACTATGAGTCGCCTACCACTCGATGGCACTTAACAACATAGAGACCGGTTGGCCTAGTGGACCAAAAGTGATGCTATCAAGCCAAAGGTGGGTGACTCTAATCCGCGGCCCTAAGACCTGTTTTAGATTGTTGTTGGGCAAACATTCTTCTTGGTCGTATAGCCCTGGTGTGTGTCCCCTAGCCCTTCAGAGGTAACTTGTGGTCGCTGTGAAGCTGAACACTGTGACAGCGATGTGTCAAATGCGATAACGGTTACCCATGGTGAACAGTGTTTGGTGGCGCTCCCAGATTAAAACAGGCTTGGAAGCAGGAGTGGCGTCCACTTCCGTAAATAGCTTGCCTCCGGAAACTCTATGAACCTGGAGAAAGGATGAAAGTCACGCAAGTGTTGAGGACTTTCGTTCAAAGGGTTGCTAAGAGTAGCCTACGACTCGATGGCACTGAACAACAACAACAACGATCTGTATAGACAATATAGTCATCTGCATTATACATAATAAAATGTAACATTCAGAAGAAGGAATTTTTTTAATATGTAAATGAAAGTTACCTACATCCTTAGATTATTTTAAGTACTTTTGGATGCGCGCATCCTGTTTTAGAGGCCATGCTTTTGAAGTTGCTCAAGAGTTATGTCAGACTAGCATGGTATTTGGAAATCCAAACCATTCTACAGGTCATGATGATGGGCCTGGAATCATCAAACATGATTGCCCCTCAAATAAAGAAATGTAGGCAAGCAGTAAATATTGGGTTAGTAAGTAAATGATTACATTAATTTTTGAAGTAAGATTTGTGACTTATAAAATGAGGGCTGTTTGTATTAAACATTTATATGTCCTTATATGTCCCTAATGGTAAATAGATATTTTGACACTTTTGCAAAATAAACAAGAAAAAAAAATCTTTGAATTCATGACATTTTCTTGATAGTAAAAATTCTTTTTCTCCCTTAGGATGCCATTGATAACAGATTAGATTCAAAAGAATGGCCATACTGTTCCCAATGCCCAGCCGTGTGGAATGGTTCTGGAGCTGTGAGGTAAAAGCTGTAAATGAACTTTTTAGTATAATATTACCAACTAATTCTTGAAATGGAACATAGGTATTCTTTTTATATTTGGTAATTCTTTGGATCATATAGTCATTTGAGAGTTAGTTTTTTTGTTTAAATGTAACTTGTTTTAGATGAGCCTTGGTAAAAGTCACTGCTGTCAGTTGGTTTCAACTTATAAGTCCCCTGCATCAAGGTTCTGAAGCTGTAAACGACAGCAGGTGCAGACAGCACCCTTATTTCTCTCACAGAGCTGCTGGTGAATTGAAATTGCTAGTGGATTTGAACCACTAGAGATGCGTAGCTTTACGGTTCGCAACCTTGCTTGCTACAGTGTGAGCTATCACATCAGATTTTGAATCCAGCAATAAGATTGCTGTTGAGATGAGTAGAAAGAGAGGGGAGTGTGTGGGACGTGTCTGACCTTGTGGGAATTGGTCTTGTATTATTGACACTGTGGACGGGGATAGTTTCCTTCTGTGAAGCTGATAAAGGTCAGATATGGTGCTCCCCAGGTGGCCCTTGCTCTTTTCATAAGATTGTAACAAACTATGGCTAACATTAAAGAAGAATGGAAATCCCAGAGTACTTAATTGTGCTCATGCAAAACCTATACCTGAATGAAAAGGCTGTTGTCTGAACAGAGCAACAGAACACTCCATGGTTTAAAAAATCAAGAAAGATGTGCATCGGAACTGTATCCTCTCTCCATACTTATTCAGTCTGTATGCTGAGCAAATCATACAAGAAGCTGGACTCTGTGAAGAAGAATGTAGCATCAGGACAGGAGGAAGACTCCTCAACAACCTGTAATATGCTTGCTGAAAGTGAGAACTTGAAATGCTTCCTGCAGAAGATCAGAGACTACAGCCTTCAACATGAATTTCATCTCAACATCAAGAAGACAGAAATTCTCACCAATGGACGAACATGCAGCATCATGATAGGTAGAGAAAAGATTGAAACTTTCAGAAAATTATATATACCATGAACTGCCTGGAGAATAAATGGATTCATCCTAGAGAGGGTAAAACCAGGCTGCCCCTTGGAGGCAAGGATTCTGAAGCTTCATCTGAAATACTTTAGGCATGTTGCAAGGAGGGACCAGGCCTTGCAGAGGGATATCTTGTTGAGAGGGTGGGGGAAGAGAGTAAAAGAGGACATTCTTCAATGAGATGGATTGATTCAGTGACTGGGTTAAAGTGGGTACGTGTGTCAGCGATGAAAAGCTTGGCACAGGATAGAGCAGGGTTCAGAGCTGTTGTACGTAGGGTCACTATGAGTCACAAATGTCTCAATGGCACATAACAAGAAAAACAGTCTTACTTGGACCCACAATCAACATACTTTGTTCCAGCAGTCAGATCAGGAGAATATTGTATTGGGAAAGTCTGTTGTCAGGGACCTTTCCAAATTATTGCGGAGCAATGATGTCTGTCTGAGGACTGAGGAGCATCTGATTCAGGCCATGGTCTTTTCAATAACTTGCTGTGCATCTGAGAACTTGACAATGAAAAAGGATGACAGAAGAGTTGATGATTTTGAGCTGTGATGTTAGAAAAAGAGTATTGAGTATCCCATAGATTACCAAAAGAGCAAACAGATGTGTCTTGTAGAAAGTCTATCCAGAGTCCTCCTTGGCAGTAGATGACAAAACAACTTATCATATTCTGACCTTGTTGTTTGAAGAGGTTCTTCCTTGGAGAGGGATATCATGTTTGGAAAGGCGGAGGGTCAATGAAAAAGAGGAAGACTATCAACTAGATGCATTGACGCAGTGACTGCTGCTATGGACTCGACTGTGTCAGAGCTGATGAGGATGGCACAGGATAGGACAGGATTCAATCTGTTGTTCGTGAGGTCATATGAGTTGTACTTGACTCAACAGCGCATAACAACTATAATCCACGAGAGCTCCCTACTCTGAGTCACAGCTTTGATTTTACTATTCGTCCCTAGAGATTTTGCTTGCTTATTTTCAGCTATACTTTTAAATAGATTTTTGCTCTTTTTTTAACGATTGTTTTGAAATGTTTTTTAAGAAGGATTTCTTGTTGCTATGTCTCATTGCATCAGAACTAGCTCATAGCTGACCCTCCCGTGGATTTTCACAGCCTGTAAACTGCGCAGGAGAAAATTGTCTCTCTTCCTCCCACAGAGCAGCTTGTGGATTTGAACTGCTTGTGGCAGTGCCTCTCATTACATACACACTAGTACCAGAGCTTCCTTCAGGATCCAGAGACCTGAAGTGTTAGAATTGTTTTGAGCAATATTATCTCTTTACCTGTGTTTTCTCGGTTGAAAAAGTTTTTGAAACTGAAAAGTTACATTCATAGTGTGCCTTTCACTTCTGTGTTTGGAATGAGAAGGCGTATCATCATGTTCCTGTTTTATCTTTTGAAACTACGTTCTCTTTTTTCCTCTTGTTCACTATCTCTTCATTCCTTAAGCTAAGGAATGAAAATAATCATCCTAAAAGCTAGATTGAAAACATTGTTTGCTATAAGCCTTTATATACAGGTCCTTAGAGGTAACATGGAAACAGTGGCTTTCCAGGTGGTTAACAGAGGTTACAATGACTTCTTGAGTTCAAAAAGAGAGTATTGGAATTTCTATATACACGTATTTTTATCTAAAAAAATAATTACGCATTACTTCCATTATACACAGCAACAATATATGTATACAGTAAATAATTTAATATTTAAGGAACTCTGGTGGCCTAGTAGCAAGAAGCTGTGCTCCAGTCCTGAAGGCACAGGGTTCAAGGCCACCAACTGTTCCACGGTTTGAGAAGGATGGGCAATCTCCTCCCATGCAATTAACTGCCTCTGAAAACCCACCCGAGGGTCATCTTTGGGTCAGTTCTGACTCTGAGGCACACAACAACAAATAATAGGATTTATTTACTTTTTAAATAAAAAGACCAAATTTTTTGCCATGGAATCTATAAACAAAAATAATTTCTCATGACCAAGAATAATGTTGCCTGGTTCGAATCCACCAGATGCTCTGCTGGAGAAGGAGGGGCAATTTCCTCCTGTGCCAGTCAGATTCAGTTTGACAGTACACACACAAAAATAATAAAATTTTTAAAAAAGAATAATATTGCCTAATGGAACACTCATAATAGAAATGTACTACAGCTATAGCATCTAGTACAGTGTCTAGTATGATAGCCACTTATTCTTGAGCACTTGAAATGTAGCCTAGTGTATCTGAGGAGGTGAATTTTTTATGTAATTTTAATTAAGTAAGTTCATGTGGCCGCTAGCTACAATATTGTACACTGGAAATCTGTAGCACCGTAGGGAAGGGAATGGTAGAAATGATTGTATTTGTTGTTGTTATGTGCCATTGCATCAACTACAACACATACTAGCACAGTGAACCACAAATCTTAACCTTGCCCTATCCTATCCCTTCCCCACCATCGCTGATATGCACAAACACACTGTTAAATTCACTGTTATCAGTCCAGCTTGCTCTGAAATGGCTATTACTTGTTGAGTGCTTTCCAGGTCCTACTTACATAGCAATATTTCCTTTCCTTAAAACACTACTTGACTTTACAGTGATGTTAATTAAGTAACTTGTAAAGATCACACAGAGTCAGGAAGAAGCAGAAATCAAATTTGAAACTCAGATCTAACTCCAACACTCCACCTCCCCCCTCATCCTGACTGGATTCCAGCAAAGGACGTCACGGTACCGCGTCAGATGGGAATGTGACCTGTCCTCTGCCACATGCTTCAGTCACACTCCCTCTTCACCTGCCATAAATAAGAGCAGGTCTTAACTTGGAGATGGAAATGCTGAGATCTATTTTGACTTATTTGTCCAAAGTGCATTGGAAACAAATTGAAAGAGGCAGTGAGCCTCACGTCTGGGGCTCTGTTCCCACCACAGTTCATTATCAGTGTAACTGATGCCAAAGCTGAATTTGGTTAGGTTAGCCTCTTGTAAAAATCTATAAGCAATAGAGGTTTTAGAAAAACATTTTAACATTTTTGTGTTTTTCACTTTTTAGTGCTCGCCAGAAACCCAGAACTAACTATTTAGAGGACCGAAAAAATGGATCAAAACTCATCATTTTTGTAATTGGAGGAATTACATATTCTGAAATGCGCTGTGCTTATGAAGTTTCTCAGGCACATAAATCTTGTGAAGTAATTATTGGTAAGAAGAAGGAATTTTTCTTTTGCTTTTCATAGAGATGAGCAAATGGGGTGGGGAGCTGGGCAGGGAGAAAAGTACAACAATAAATGAATGGAAATCCAAAATCTCTGTAAATGCTCATTAAAATTAATAAAATTTTAAAAAAGAAAATAAATTTTAAATACAAAACATAAATATAAAAATTAATCTGTAATTTATATTTAGGACTAAATTATTTTGTTTTGTTTTTAAATCAGTGTCACAAGTTTTTTTCCAGATAGGTATATAACTATCATTTTAGTTTAAAATATTTAAGTTTTTTGAAATAGGCTTGTTCTTTTCAACTATTACATTTTATGCTTTATTCCTCTTGGTGCTATTTTTTTCATGCATAATTTTTATTAATTAAAAGTTATGAATATGGACCTCACATGGGTAAGGACGACATGGAATGGGATTTTAAGAATTTCAGCCAAAGCCAGTGACTGACACATCATTGCATCACTGCAGTTTTGCCTCACAGCTCCCTTGTTGAACAATTTTCACATTGATGAGGTAGTGTTAAATTTTACACTGCAGTATATGAAGAGCATAGAGTCGACACAGTCCTGTGAGTGGACAGTATCCTTGAGCACCCTCAGCAAGCAAGAAGCGTCGTATGATTGTACTGGGGTAGATGTTTCAGGTCAGTGCCCGAGAGCAAGTTTATTAAATTGCACAAGAACACTATGCTCTACATATTTTAAGGACAATATAATCCATGAAGCCAGGGAAAAATCAGCTGAACTACTGGTCTCTAAAAGTTCTCTTTTCTCCCATCAGGTTCTACACATATTTTAACACCCAAGAAACTGCTGGATGATATCAAAATGCTGAATAAATCCAAGGATAAAGTCTCTCTTATTAAGGATGACTAGGGATTTTGTTTTGGAGGATTCTTACTAAAATCTTCAGCTAAACTAGAGGAAGAAAATATTACTTTCATGTAATTTAAATTGTGAAACATTTCTATGGAATAATGACTTTTAAAAGAATACTTCTGAAGGGAGTATTTCTTACTTCCTGGGAGTCTTTATGACTGTCAAGGGACTGATCACGTCTAATTATTTAAATATTATTGCTGCTTATTAAAAGATGAGAAGAAATGTTAAAATGCTTTCTAAAAGGAAATCTTCTACCTTTAGAGTAGACTACAGTAGAATTTGAGGGTAATTTTTCAGTCATCTTTGTACATACTAACTGTTTGTCAGATACTTATCTTTTGTCCAAAAATCCAGTTTTGAAAAGAATGACTTGTAAGTGGGGGGATTGCAAAAGGTAAACTGTAAATGTGTATATAGGATAGATTTCCTATAAATATTTTCTTTGAAGTGAATGAATGTCTTTTGCATGTAAAATAATTCATTGTCAATAACAGTGATTTCACAGTGGGTACTATCATATTAGTAACTTTTGAAGAGCACAATTTTATACAGTTCTGAAATAATGTATGTTTAAATTAGAAAACTATAAATAATCATGAATATTCTTCTAAGAGAAAATAAATATATGATTAAAGAAATGTTGGTTTGTTTCTTTGGGATCAAATGGAAAGTTAAGGAATTAAAGTTTTCAGAGTTGCTAAGAAGAGAGCAAATTGTCAAACACCTGAATGTGCAGAGAAAGACTAGAAATTAACATAACAATATATTTATATATTCAGTGTATTTATTGTGAATAGATTACGTTTGAATCGATCAGCATGGTCATCAGGATGTGTCCATGGTTGTAGAAAAAGAGTCACAGTGAAGCTGCACAGAAAGAACTCTGTAAGAGTCAGTGCCTGAGACAAACATTTCCACCAAACTGCTCACGAGGCTATTTTTTGTCTCAAAGATGAATTTAGGAAAACAGTTGCTTCGAATCTCAAGATTCAGAAGGACACCTAAGAGCTAGTGATTAATCATCCCGTTAACACAAACCCAGGAATCTGGATTCTAGGAGAATCAATTGTATGTCAGAGCAAGCACTCCACGTAGAGAACAGGTGTTCAATTTTTTTAAAAAACACTCATTTAAGGCTAGTTAACATAAGCATATAGCTGAAGATTTATAGCTCTGTGTGTGTGTTATACAAAAGGAACATCTTCATATCAAAATTCTCTTCATACCGTGTTCTGCCAGAGGGCTGAACAAGCATGTCTTGGAGGAAATGCAACCAGGGTCCAGGGTGCTCCTTAGAGGTGAGGATATCGAAGCTTCCTCCCACATGCTGTGGGCATGTTGCCCTGAAGAAGGACATCATGCTTGGAAAGGTGGAGAGTCAGAAGCATAAGAGAGGAAGACCCTCAAAGAGATGGATTGACACAGTGACTGTAACAATGGGTTCAAGTATATCAGAGATGGGGAGAATGGCACAGGGTAGGGCAGGGTTCAGATCTTTTGTTCATGAGTTCACTGAGTCATGGTCAACAACAACAACATTGTTTTAATAGTTTTATTCTTAGAAATATTCCTGCAGTGAATTACTTAAAACCCAAACTCATTGCTATCAAGTTGGAGCAGCCTCATAATTGACCCTCCAATAAGTGTTCAGGCTGTAAATCACATAAGAGGAGCTTGCCCATCTTTCTTCAGTGGAGCGGCTGGTGAATTCGAACTGCCTGCCTTCGGGTTTGCCGCACAGCTTGCTACCCAGTGGACCACAGAGCTCCCTAGTGAATTACTTAGGCACAGACCTTCCCAGACTTCCATAATGTGTTTGGAAATATATTTAAATAGTTATAATAGTGTTAGCTAGTCAAGGAATTAGTATTTTACTATTAGCATCATCAATTTTTTTCCCCCCCATAAAGGCTTTACCACTTTGGAATTTCGCAGCAGTGTGTGGTAGTGCCTGCTTCACAGTAGCTTCACAAGCTGTGTAGTGAGGACTTCAGCTGGACTTTGTCCCAGATTCCTGGCAGATAACCTGAAATCTATAATTAAAAGTTTGGACATTTATCCCCTCTTCCTGGAAACCAAAAAAATCCAAACCCACTGCTATCAAGTCGATTCTCTGCCACGGTCGTGACTTAGTGAACATAGTAGGACTGTCCGTGGGGCTTCCAAGGCTGTACTCTTTCTCCTGAACACTTGGAGTCACTGTGCCACCAGAGATCCCTCTAGATTCTAGAAGGACCTTCCAAATCTTTGGAATGACTTGAGTGATAGGGAGTGGCCTGTGGTGGTACATAGAGGGTTACACTACTAAACCAAAGTTGCCATGTCTCTAGTGGGAGAATGAGCAGTTCTCCTCCTGTTAAGATCTGCAGTCTTGGAAAGCTGATGGGAATTTGCTGTGAGTTAGAATCAAGTGGACAGCAGGGGATTTAGATCGTCCTGGTGGGCCTCTTTGAAATAGCACATTAGATAGTGTATGCTAATGCGATGGCTTAGGCTGGGGAGAGCCACACCAGGGAGAATAACCGAGTGATGATGGAGTATTGAATTCAATCAAGCTTGTCTACAGGAAGCCTCAGTACAAACTGGATGCCGAGGTTTAGATGAGCTTTTCTGATTGACAGTATTTTGTCACACATTAATGTGCTTTTTTGTCGGCTGAGGAAAAAGAATAAAGAAAGAGGACACCAAGAATGGAAGAGAAACAGCATGAAGGCAGGGATGAACAGCTGGGGGAGGGAGGGAATGAGTGGAACAGAAGCCCTCAGCCTACACCTTTCTGTGGCTTTATTGAGAATCACAGGGAAGTAAATCACAAAGAGAAATCTTTTGCAAATGAAGCTGAGTTTTCCCCAATTGTCAACCTTACACTTATCTCAGGAGGGAGGGATTAGTAAATAGAATCCAAGAATTGTGAACACTTAGGTCTGCCTAGGCCCTTGATCCCTGTGACCTGTCTCGAGGAATTCCAGTTTGTATTTACACCTCCCTCATGTCCTGATAGAGCATTAAGTTTTTCATTAATATTTGGTTTGAAATTTGGCTTCCCACAACATTTCTGACTCACATGGAGAAGACAACAAGCTTCACTTTGGGGACCCTCTAGACTTAACCCTGTATGTCACTCTGCCCTGTACTGATTTGTATCCTTCTGCTGTAATAAAACTAATTGTCTACATATAGCACACTGCTGTTGAGTCAAGTTCAACTTATAGCTCCATTAGATTTCTAAAACTGTACATCCTTTTGCTAAGGAGTGCCTGGTGAATTTGAACTGCCAACCTTTTGATTAGCAACCAACATGTTACACACTATGTTGCACTAAGTCTCCATTGGTCATTTATTTCCCCCATTATGTTCTGAGAAGATGGCCTGAAAATCAGGAGAGGTAAAAATCGACCTTTATTTGTACTCAACTCATTACCCTAAATCAGAACCAACTCATAGCTGATCCTCTATTCCGTTTCCAAGGTAGTAAATGAAATGGGAGGAGATTGCCATTTTTCTCCTGTGGATTCAAACCACCAGAGAAGCAAGACATTTGGTTTCATACAACTGCACCACCAAGTCTCCAAGATTTATGCAGTATTACTTTTTTGGCATCTTTGCATTAAAAAGGATTCTTTTATTTAAAAGGAATTCATCAGGGGAGCTCTGGTGGCCTAGTGGCAAGAAGCTACACTGCAATCCCAGAGATATGTGGTTCGAATCCACCAGATGTTTTGCTGGAGAAGGAGGGGCCATCTCCTCCTGTACCAGTCAGATCCAATTTGACGGTACACACACACAGAAAAAATAAATAAGTAAAAGGAATTCATCTAAAAGGAATGCTAGCTGCCTCATTGCATTGTACTTCACTTTATTGCAGTCCACAAATAATGTGAAGGTTTTTGTCCCACAAAAAAAATCTCATGTATTAGTCACTTAGTGCAGAAACATAAAAATAAAGAAAACCAGAAGTTTCCCATTCATGTTGAATTGAGCAAATAGTCATGAAATTTCAAATTTGATACAAGAGAATGCTAGTGAATATATGTGTGACTCATAAACCCAGCTTCTCCAAAGATTCCTTCTTGTAGTTACCCTATTTTATTACTAATGTTGATTCTAAGCTCTAAGGGAAAATGGCGATTCAGCTTCTGCTGATTGGTCAGGAATCTCTTGACCCTGAAAGTCATAGGCAAAGATATAACTAGGACAGAAGGTAGCTGCACTTAACACAATGATGTAGAAAGATAATAGTTTTTACGAATTGTGGCAACATGTATCAGCCTCATTTTCCCATGTACTCATTTTATGTCTGTTTATTAATTCTCAAAATATTTCCAATTTTTTTCGTGCTGTTATTGCACATTGGACTATGTTGTTGCTGCAGTATGCTGTCAAGTATTACTCATAGTGACCCTATAAGCACGAGATTTGAATGCTGTCCTCTCTTGTGCCATCCTCATCGTCTCTGGCACACTTGAGCCCACAGCTACTGCCACTGTGTCAATCCAGCTCGTTGAGGGTCTTCCTCTCCTTCACTGACCTTCCTTCCACCTTTGAAAGCATGTTGTTCCTTTCCAAAGAATAGCCTCTCCTAGCAACATGTCCTAAGTATGTGAAACAAAGCTTCATCATTCTTGGCTCCCAAAGAGCATGCTGTCCGCACTTTCTCCAAGACATATCTGTTTGTTCTTTTGGCAGTCTGTGGGATATTCAGTACTACTCAACTCCACATCTCAAAGTCATCAATTCTTCCTCTGTCATCATTATTCCTTGTCAAATTCTCTGTATAGCAAGTGATTTGAAGAGTCCATGGCCTGAACCAGCGTACCTTAGGCTTTGAGCTGACATCACTGCTCCTCAGTACTTTGGAGAGATCCCTAACAGCAGACTTTCCCATTGCAACACATCTTTTAATTTCTCAACTGCTGGTCCCAAGGGTGTCGATTGCAAATCCTAGAAACAAGAAATCATTGACAAGTTCAATCTTCTCGCCATCTATCAAGATGTTGTTGATTGGCCGGTCATGATGATTTTTGTCTTCTTGATGTTGACATGTAATCTGTATTGAAGACTGTAGTCTTTGATCTTCTAAAGCAAGCACTTCAAGTCCTCCTCA